CCCTCCTCTCCGAAGAATGAGTAACGAATACTTAAGTCGCTCCTCTCTCATTAGGTGTACTGTCACATGACAGATGAAAGCAAAGGATGGACGCTGATCGCCCGATTCTCAAACAGTGATAGTAAAAATTGGATGAAAGACACTGGTTTCTGGTGGTACGACCAGCAAGTTGCCATGGGAACAACAACAGATCCGTCAAACAACGCTGACATGATCTCACCCGCCTTTTGGTTGGTCAGCGGCAGAGAGTTTAAGATCACGCGCAGTGATGATCCCAGTCACACTCCTTTATTACAGACCACAGGTAACTGTTTGGCTGGACAAACATTGCGATTAAAAATCACAAGTTATGGCGACTTTAGAAATAGCAAAGCTTTGGGCCTTTAACCAGTGCTTGGAAAGCTGCACGGTTCAATATGGCGGTCAGTACAAGTCAACAGACGGGTTTCAACAGGCTGAGTGCAGTGGAGACATCCAAAGCGCCAACAACATCGGCTTCTGGTGTGACTGGAGTACTGGTGATGGATCAGTGATGATGATTGGTGGAGGAGGAAGTGCTTGTGCACGTGCTGATCACGGGATTGGAATAARAGAAACTGACGATGTTTCTTTCGTTGATTTCGGAAATGAGCAAACTGAATTTGACTTTGGTTACGACGCTCATGCAGGATCTGTCACATCCCAGGCATATGCATTAAACCTGTGGATCCGTTGATTTTTACGTCTTAGATTTTACCAGACAATATCGAGTAGCGTTTGTAGCGAATGAGCAAAATAATTTACTTGTAGACATTGTTGTCACGTAGAACAAACGTTTCATTAATCACTAAGACGATTTAATTCCAGTTTAAAACAGAAGATACCCTCGGTTGCGACTTACCTTCAGTCGATGTTTGAAAATTAAGATAGAACTCTTATTAAATATGACAAAGATTGCCGATAATTTTGCTTTTAATCATGATTATAACAAATTAAAACTCCGCAACCCGATTGGTTATTAACAAGTACTTGCCTTTTAATTTAGCATTTCCTGAACAGTCCATACATTTGGCCCCGCCCGCGTCTGTAGGATGTTCAGGACAGAACGCTCGTTAATGAAAGGTCCCGTTATACCGACTACAGATGTATTTAGCGGTGCAGTGATTCACGGTGGACATTTTAAACACGAGAATGACCTGACCGTTAACCAGTCGCTAACTTCAGTCTCAGCGGCAAGAAGCAGCTTTAAAACAGCGGGTTTGAGATCCTTTTGATCACGATTACAGTCCCCCCCTGACATAAGCAAATGCTCTCCGAACTAAACTTCGCGTCGTCTCTCTTTTGCTCTAAAATCAGTGGGGAAGAACGCAAAGAAGAACGCATCACCAGCGACCTCTGGGTCTTGAGCGTGCGATCGTGTCATGCGAAGCCGCGAGCCGCAAGTAGCGCGGGCGTCGCTCGTCTTCCGACGCCCGTTCTACTCGCGACGGATTTTCCGAGCAAAAGAGAGACTGCTCGCGGTCTAACTGCGAGCAAACTCGTGAATTTCTCTGTGAGACGATATGGAATAACATGGAATTGCTCTTTAAGTTCATTACAGTTGGAATTGCTCTTTCAGTTCATTTCAGTTCTGTAAGGTAAAGATTTAAATAAGTAACAAGTAAAGCTTCTTTAACTGAAAATAATTCTGACAGTTAACTTTTGGAAAGATCTTTTCGAAGGCGAAGACGATGATGACGATGATGATGATTGTGATAATGAATGAATGATGATAACTTTATTAATGTTTTGCAACTTTGTTGAATTGAGACGCAAGTTGCAAGAATGTTCAGTTCATTCTGTTGCAGATAAATCAAGTTCGACGATTTGGGTTGCCTGCAGAACAAGTAGATCTGGGGGCATGCAGGGAGAGAGAGAGAGAGAGAGAGAGAGAGAGAGAGAGAGAGAGAGAGAGAGAGAGAGAGAGAGAGAGAGNAGGTGAAAAGGAAACAATCTTTAAAAACTGGTGAAGTTTGTTTCGCTCAAAGGCAGCGAAACACGCCATGATAAATTTTTGGGAAATGTGAAGGACGCGATACTCGAGCTTTTGACATAGCGCTGAAAACAGAATTCTTTGATCGAACTTTCCAAGCCACCCGTGGCAATGCATCTTTTAGATCTTGTAATATTTCCATGTTTTTGTGTAACTGCGATTGCCCACCTAACTGTTTTGAGAATTCATACAGCTTTTAACATAACTCTAAAAGAGCATCTTCCTTTTTAACCGCTCGTAAATTCCTTCTTCCTTCAGTCACGCTGATCCACGCGCGTTACCCTCACACAGTCTTCATTGTCCTTAGGGCGTTTGAGACGTTAGTAACATTTATATGCCGTTTTTTCGATTTTCGCATTTTCCAGCGTGTTTCACGCATGTTCTACACGTTGTCCACATTAATTTTGAAAAGCATTTTCTTGACTTTTCGTGGTTTTTCTTGTGGCTTCTTGTGCCACGCGCGACATATACGTTGGTTCTCTCCAGGGTCTTCAGGAAGTTATTAAAAAGACTTATTATATGGCTGTGTCTCGCAAGGCCTGGGAACTACCGAATTCACGAATTTGATTGGCTGAAATCGATATTGACCGCTGTCTAGATCTTCCCATCTAGATCGGCATCTAGACCGGTTTAATTTTGCGTTGAAAAAGTAACAAACTAAAATGCAAAAGTGCTCGCCATTTTCTTCTATTTTCTACTTAATCATTTATATAAGTGCCAAAAAGCCTGATGACAAAAAAAAGTAAAGAGGACGATCAAATTTCGGCAGGTTTAAGTCAAGTTCATCGTCGTTTCGAAGCAAAATGTCAGCAAACCAGTTACATTAAACGAATTAAAGTTTTCTTGTTTGCCATATAATAACATCGTATTAGCCGAGCTAAATCGGTCTGTATGGGAGAATCTTGACCTCGGTCATGTGTACAGACCTCACTGTGTTTGGTCTGTACTCACGACCTCGGCCGAGATTCTCCCATACAGACCTCCTGCTCGGTTAATAAGAGCTAAATAATTTTAATCATTGAGAATTAAAATTTTTACCAGGGATCTCTGTTTCCCTGGAGTCATTGTACCTGATGGCTTGAATTGCTTTCGCCACTGCTATAGATCAACCAATTAATTATCAGAGAACGTCATACAATCAAAACCACAAAGGGAACATGGGGAGCAGCAAGCCTTTGACTTTAAGGTAAAATACTTTATTATCATAGGATATCGAACACTGTTGTTTTATCGCATGTCGCTGGGTCTGAACTTAGGTTAACTCGTTCCATGTGCTTCCTGATTATGCAGAAAATCATTGTGTATTTTAATAATCTTATTATGCTTATTCTCCGTTAGTTGAAGCATATTTCTGAAAAAAAACTTTGCGCTATTCATTTTTCCGCTAACAGAATCTTATGACAATTTTAAAAGGAAAATTGATGAGAAAACATTGTATGACCTTTTGACGACTTCATGTCCGATTATTGAGCAATTGAGAAAACTACCTAAAGGCATAGATAAGGGCATGAAAACAAAGGTATTAAACAAAACGTTTCTTGCGAAAAATGCGGGTTTCGTTTCGATTTGATCATGAGTACTTCAAAAATTTAAAGCACTTATATTAGCTTGTCTCGACATTTCGTAAAGATGTTAAAATTTTCGTGATTTTAAATGGCGGTTCTCTACACGTTGATGGAAATGGTGGCTTGTGTGACCACTACGTTTTCAACGGAAAACTGGTCACACGAATACTCCAAACGATGTTCAATTTTTTTTTTTTGAGCGAAGGCGTGAAATGAAATTTCCACCCTTTCATGGCCACTCATTCTCTGTATGGGATTTTTACGGATTCAAATGGGCAGATTCATTGGACGTGTTTATATATAATACAAAGATACAAACTGAATAGTATTTCTGAAGCGAGAAAAGTTTCATAGTTGCTTCCCAAACTAGAAAGTATCCAATTTCAAGTCCTTGCACAGGAGACATGGAAGCAATAAAAGTTACTATATCAAGAAAAGAAGTCACCAATAACGCTGGCATCAAAAGAAACAAAAAAGTCAACTAAAATCACGGGTATTCCACCTCTACCGGGTTAGGGAAGACAGGTGCACATCTATTCGAATTTACATTATTTGTAACAATCATGATCTCTTGACTTTTGTTAGTGTTTTTTTGAGACATTTGAAAATGATGACCGTCCAAGCTGTTTCACTTTACGCATTTGATATTATTGCGTCTGGATTGAAAATTGTTAAGACCCCTTATCGATATGCAATAAAAATACAACTCAACGCAGACAAGGAGATAGAGGGCACATTCTTTCATCGTGTTAACAAGTTGCCTAACAACGGCTTTGGTCGAGGGATGATCTGGACTCTAATTGGCCCCGCGAGCGATCATGGGACACTTTTAGGAACACTGAACGCCGGGATAATGCTGGGTTCAGTCGAGAGAAGATATAACAGACCGGTCAAAAAACGGCAAAATAACTACGGTGAAAACGGAAGGGAGAAACGACTACTCTGGGATTTATAAAACTAGGAATTATCATATCGTCGGCTGAGTTTATTTTTTCTTTTGGTAGTTGGTATTATAAAATAAAACATTCGGAATTTTTTTTTTTTAACACAGCAATTTTTGTACAAAGCGTTATGTGAAAGCATAAGAGAAACACAGATAATTTAAATGTCTAACACATTCATAGAGCCATTGTACAAGACTCAGTTATATTTTATATCATGGTCCGGTAATACTGTTCGTTAAATTGCAACGAAGTTGGTACAATTAAAGTTTACCAAGAAACCGGTTTTGTTGTCCCAGCAGCAGTGAACGAAAACGTGGGGTAAGGGGTTGGGAGGTTGGAACTAAAAAGAGACAGGGGGCTTAATATGATTCTTGCTCTAAAAAGGAAGACTCATCATTAGAGAGTGGCCGCTTGTTTGAGAAGAGGGGAGGCTTAAAAGGGATTTGATGGTAAAATTAATTTGACTCGACTTAATTATGTTGTTGTTGTTCTTGCTGTTGTTTCAGTTGCAATGGTAATCATAGAATCCTCCTCGCCTTGTTTGTTTCTTGTATTGCGGCCACTGTTGTCTTGGTTGTTTCGCTTGTGATACAGAAAGATTTCCATCCTACACCTGCCATTAAACCTGTAATCAATCAACTTGGAAATTCCCCTCCAGTTGAACCATCTACAGCAGCTACAGACACCAAAAGATGGAATGTGATCATTTTAACACACATGAGTTCTGGCTCAACCTTCACTGGGAACTTATTTAACCTGCATCCGGATGTGTTCTATCTGTATGAACCCCTGAATAACTTAAGGAGAGATGTTTATGGGAACGAGTGGAATCCGTTAGATGAAGCAACTAATGATGTCTACAAATCTGATTTTTCAACTCTGTTTCGTGACGTTTTTGACTGCGGATTTCGAGAAGACGCTACATTGAAAAGAGCAATTCCTCCATCCGTGAGGAGTTTAAAGAGGCTAACTTATTGGCGGTTTTCTAGTCCAGAATTCACCAAAGAGACAGTCAGTAATGCTTGCAAAGCTAAGAAATTAACCGTGGCGAAAGTCATGCAAACTCGACTGCCACGAAACATTGGAATACAAGAACTCCAGAGGGTCTGCAGTGCGGACCCAGCTAGATTTGACTGTTTGATAATACATCTGGTGAGGGATCCGCGTGCTGTGGTGTCGTCCCTGCTGGGCCGTAAGTTCTTCATTATGGGAGGACCTAAGAAAAAACTGCTTTCTTCAAGTCCTTTAACCACGGAAGGAAGGGAACTAGTAATGCAACTCGCAGAGTTAATGTGCTCGCAAGTTTCCAACAATATAAACTACGCTAAGGAAAACTGGTTAAACTGGTTTAAAGGCCGATACAAGGTGATCCGTTATGAAGACATTGTAGGTAATGCTGCAAACACGTCGAACGAGTTGTACAAGTTTGTTGGCCTCTCCATGGTTGACTCGATATATAAGTGGATTGTGGAAGGTGAAACGCCTGTAGGAACCGGCGCAGCAACCTTTACTGTATCGGGAAATGATGTTAACAGGATAGGTCATTGGAGATTCGACCGAGACTTCCCGCTAGTGTCCTTGTTTGAGGAGGCCTGTGCGCCACTGATGAAACTAACCGGGTATATTTTTGTCAACGGATCAGAACAGCTTCAGCACGACCTTAGCAAACCACTTCTAACTAAGGAGATACCGATTCTAAAAGACCTTCCATTGTAAAAATTAACAACAGCGTAAATTATTTAGTCTATTTATGTTATCAAAAAAGCATAAATTAAACCCTTGCGTGACAGAAACTCCTAAACTTTACGTGACACAAAGTTCTAAAATTAACATTACGAAAATACAGAGAAAAAAACCGCGCATGCAAATAAACTTTAAATTTAGCGTGTTATTCAATAACGAACGTCTTTTTAAAGCAAAGAAAATCTCTCAGTATTAAATTAGCGGAGCTCCGGTGGGCCGCAAGCGACGGACCATAACTATAGGAACAGGACCACAGGCACGAGGAGGGTTGGGAGAATTCGAAAGGGTTATGCAAACCGTCGACTATGTCTCGGGTTTGCATAACTTTCGAGAATCCTCTCAGCCCCCCGAGTGTTTAGATGAGGCTATGTAAACACGGAAAAAGTGCTCTATTGCTTTTTATAAAGTAATTCTCAAAAAATACGCGCGAATCTAAAAACGTCACAACTGTGTTTACATACTTTAATCATCAGATATTGCTCTTTCCTCGAGAGCACAAAATTAATATTTTCGTGCTAACATATAAATGTTCTTTTTAAACCCGTGGCTACGCGAAGCGTAGAAACGTGTTTGTTGCGGGGACTCCGATATGCAAATGTGTCACTCACTCACTCACTCAGATCAGGTGTAGACACTGTTCGTAATTAGTCGGCCCGTACGAGAGCGCCCGAGTCCGACACCATGTTGGAATAGTAACCGAGCCCGACGCCATATTAGAATAGTAACCGAGC